CTCTGTGAGTTCAAGGCCAGCCTGATCTACATAGTGAGTTCCAGGACAGCTGGGGCTGCAAAAAAAAAAAAAAAAAAAAAAAAAAAAAGTGAAGGGCACACAGGTGGTTGCACACAACTTTAATTCCAGCACTCAGGAAGCAGAGGCAAGAGAAGTCTAAGTTTGAGATTGGCTGGTCTACAAAGCAAATTCCAGGCCAGCTGGGGCTACTGGGAGATCCTGTCTTAAAACAATAGCAACAACAAAAAAGATGGAAGGGCAGAAAGACAGATCAGTTAACAGTTTTTGTCTTGCGAGCCCAGCAACCTGAGTTCCATCCCCAGAATTCATGTAAAAGTGAAAGGAGAGGACCAACTTCACAAAGTTGTCTCTGACCTCTGACCACACACATGCCACGGCATGCATGAGCACACCCATGCATCCTGTGAACACACAGTATTACTGATGGCAGCTGGGAATGGTGCCGGACACCCTTAATCCCGGGACTCAGGAAGCAGAGGCAGGTGGATCTTTCTAAGATTGAGACCAGATTGGTCTACATAGCGAGTTCCAGGGGACAAAAGGTGATATCCTGTCTCAAAAGCAAACAAGTAAATGATGGTGGTGGCAAATAGAAGCCGCTGGAGGCTGGGGCTGGTGTAGCTCAATGATGGCACCTGGGCATTGATGCAAAGGAAGGTCATGACCTCCATATCAACAACCACAAACAAAAAGAAAGCTCAGCTTCCTGACTACCGATACAGTGAGACCATCTGGCCTCCCCCGACTGAATGATGGACCGAATTACTCAAGATGGCTCAGCAGTTAAGAGCACTGGCTGCTCTTCCAAAGGCCCCAGGTTTCGTACCCAGCACCCACATGGCAGGTAACAACTGTCTGTAACACCAGTTCCAGAACATCCAATGCTATCTTCTGGCCTACGCAGGCACTGCATGCATGGATGCACTTACATGCAGGCAAAACATTTATACACATAAAATAAACACAAAACAAAGATGAGAAGCTGAAGAGATGGCTTAGTAGTTAATCTCGAGGAGTTCAGGAAGTCAGCACCCCTGTAATAAACTGGGCCTCCCAGACATGGCCGGAACTCCGGCTCCGTAGGAAGGAGGATCTCTGGCGGTTTCTATCCTGAGAAAATATAAGCCCCAGGTTCAGGGAGACACTGCCTCAAAGACACCTGATACCCTTTTCTGGCCTTCAGGTATGCATACCTGCACACACACTCACATACACACACAAATAAGATGAAAATTTTTTCCAAAAAGAGACAGAAAAGTCATTGGAATTCAGCCTTACCTCCCAGTTCGAGAATAGTTTAGTCTGTAAGGTCCAAACTGCCGCAGATTCAAGTCAAAGTGCTGGGGGGGGGG